ATTACTAAAGATCAAAGTGTTATACTTTTACATATGATCTTAAAAGTTTAGTCTTTGATCTTGCTTCAAAGTTTCTTTCATGCTTGGTTCTTAAACTCTTGATCTTGTTTTTTTTCATGAGCCCGATTTGATAGTCTTGATTTTGATCTTTTAAGTTCTCGTCTCGAGTGTTTTGACTTGAATGCTTAACTTTCACTTTGACTATCCCTAATTACAAATGATATTGTTATCGATAATTCCGTCTGGGTGATTGACAAGTACAAATTTTTTTTTTTTAAATATTAATTCTGATTTTAAGATCTTTTTTTTTTTAACTTATTAATTGAGATTTCCTGGAGTTTGGACCTTAGCTAAGTGCGAGACCTTCATCGTCCACCTAATTTTAAAAAGTTGAGCAAAACTCTATTAAGAATACATCAAATATTCTTTTTGAGAAAACAAGAAGTTATATAAACCAGTTAGTACATAGAACACTAATCGTTGTCATCCACCTTTAAGTTTTGTTTTATTTTGATTATTGAATCAATTCGTTCCAAATTAATCATTGAAAATTAAATTTGTTCCACATTGGTCACTACATTATACTCATTTAAAATTTAATTGGCCAAACAGCCACATATTATGCAATTGTGGAGAGAGAAGTCATTTGCGAACTTATTAGATTTATGCAAATAGATGTATGAGAAGTATTTATAAACGATTTAAATTATAAATAAATAGAAATGAATAGTTGATAAGTATGTAATACTTTAGGATTCCTCTAAATGTATAAATAACAAGTGAATTGAATGTTTTTAAATAATTTATCAACATGAGCCAAAAATGCTTTGCAAGAAAACTAAGCCCCAGTTTGATGCCATTATTCGATAAAAACAATGTTTTGAATAGAAATTTTTAAAAGAATCTGTGGTTAAAAAGTAGATAAAAGTTTTGAGTTTATGTATAGAATATTTTGTTGTGTAAATATATGATTGAAAATAAGTACGTAGAAAAAAAATTTCAAATAATGATTGTCAAACAGGGAATAAATTGGTGGTCAATGTGAAACAAAGTATATAGTTGGGTGACTAATGTGGAACAAATTAAAGCTTACCGATCAAAGTGATACAAATCTTAAAGTTGAATAAATTAAAATTTAGCGACCAAATTGAAGACTAATGCTATTAGCAGTTAAATGAGTTATGTTACTTTACATTTAAATGAATCTATCAAAATAACATGTAGTTGCCACATAAACTGATGATTAACACTAGTGATGGTGAATAACATTACGATAAATTGAAAACTGTCTATAGTGACCAGTTAGAGTTCTTGCAATTCCTAAATATATTCCCTTGAAGAGTGAAACAATATTCTTATGGACTTCAGCTCTCTAATATTGAGAGTCAGTTAGTTTGAGCAATCTTTAACATAATGTAATCAAGTAATTCATAATCTTCAAATTTTGATTTGAGATGCATTTTGATCTTTTTAAGCTTATCTGATTAAAGACGTCAAACTTATTACACACGATTTAGTTTACAATACCTTAAAAGATCACTACATCTCCCGATGAATGTAGCATCTACAAATTAATATA